CACACACACACACACACACACACACACACGAATACTTAGCACCGTGTGATGATGAGACGGAAGGTCAACTGAGTTTACTTTCAGCATTTTCATCTTGCACATTGGAAGTTTGCAAATGACATCTGTTCACTCACAGGGGTGATCACACTGCAGAAGATGGTAGGTAACACACTGGAATTGGTGTGAAATTACACTCGAGGAGTTCGATTTCACCTGAAGAAAACGTTTTTGTTTTTCATTGAAGGTGTTCTGATTTATTAGAACAATCACACTGAAAATACAACAGGTGAAAAAAAAATCATCAGTGAATACAATTTGAAACTGTAATTACCGGGAGTTTAGGCCTAACACAGTCCAGAATATTTCCCATTTGTCACTGTCAATTTCATGCTTCCTTTGACTCCAGTGAAGCCGATCACCTGCTGATTTAACAAATCTAAATGAACAAGCTATTTCAGAACTTGCAAATTAGGTGGCTCGCTTAAAGGGGCAGGGAGCAGGTGACCCAGGAGGTGAAAATCATTGTGTCAGTGAAGTCTGTTCTTTGTGGCAGTTGCAAAATCGGACATAGATTGTCTTTTTAAATTTACACTTGTGAAGGATGTTGGCGTCACTGGCAAGTTGTGGCACGGTCCTAATTATTCTGGGACTGAGTGCCTAGTCAGGCCATTTCAGAGGTCAGTTAAGAGTCAAACATGTAGCTGTGGTTCTGGAGTCAGACTGGGTAAGGACATGAGATCTCCTTCTTTAAAGGAAATTTGTTGACATCTCGTATAGATACAGAGAAAGTAATGGCTTTCCTCATGCTTTATCTTTCTGAAGAAGACAATTTATTGCCCGTCCCTAGTTGCCCTTGAGAAGGTGGCGGTGAGCTGCCTTCTTGAACCGTTGCAGTCCTCCTGCTGTGGGTTGACCCACAATGCCCTCAGGGAGGGAATTCCAGGATTTTGACCCAGTGACAGTGAAGGAATGGCGATATATTTCCAAGTCAGGATGGTGAGTGGCTTGGAGGGGAACTTGGAGGCTGTGGTGTTTCCATATATCTGCTGCCCTTGTCCTTGTAGGTGGAAGTTATCATGGGCTTGGAAGGTGCTGTCTGAGGATCTTTGGTGAATTTCTGCAGTGCATCTTGTAGATAGTACACGCTTCTGCCCCTGAGTGTAAGTGGTAGAGGGAGTGGATGTTTGTGGATAGGGTGCCAATCAAATGGCTGCTTTGGCCTGGATGACGTCAAGCTTCGTGAGTGTTGTTGGAGTTGAAGCCAAAGAAGCCTTGGTGAGTTGCTGCGGTGCATCTTAAAGATGGTACACACTGCTGCTACTGTGCTCCAGTGTGGGAGGCAGTGAGGTGATAGATCAGTTGCCAATCAAGAAAGCTGCTTTTGTCCTGGATGGTGTCAACTTTGTTGAGCATTGCAACTGCATTCAGGCAAGCGTGGAGTATTCCATCGCACTCCTGACTTATGCCTTGGAGAGGCTTTGAGGAGTCAGGAGGTGAGTTACTCACTTCTGATCCTCTGGCCTGCTCCTGTAAGCATTGTATTTATATGCTGTGTCGAGTTGAGTTTTTGGTTAATGAAAACCACAGGATATTGATAGCGGGGGTTCTTGAGATAGCAACACCACTGAATGTCAAGGGGCGGTGGTTAGATTGATCTCTTATTAGAGAATTCTTGCCATTTTTGTGGCGAAAAATGTTCCTTACCACTTTTTGGCCCAAGGCTAGATATTGTTGCATTTGGACACGGGCTGCTTCAGTATCTGAAGTTGCAAATGGTGCTGAACATTGCACAATCATTGGTGAACATCTCCACTTCTGACCTAATGATGGAGGGAGAGTTATTGATGAAACAGTTGGTCAGACCTAGGGCACTACCCTGAGGAACTCCTGCAGAGATGTCCTGGAGCTGAGATGACTGACCTCCAACCACAACCATCTTCCTTTGTGTCAGGTATCATTCTAGCCAGAGGAGAGCTTGTCTCCTGGTACCCATTGATTCCAGTTTTGCTAGGATTCCTTGATGCCACACTTGGTCGAATGCAGCCTTGATGTCAAGGGCTGTCACTTTCACCTCACCTCTCAAATTCAGTTCTTTTGTCCATGTATGAACCAAGGCTGTAATGAGGTCAGGAGCTGAGTGGCCCTGGCAGAACCCAAACTCAGTGTCACTGAGCAGGTTATCAGTGAGCACTGTTGATGATCCCTTCCATCACTTTGCTGATGTTCGAGGGTAGACTGATGGGGTGGAAATTGGCCGGATTGGATTTGTCCTGCTTTTTGAGTGCAGGACACAGCTGGGCAAATTTTCCACATTATCGGGTAGATGCCAGTATTGTAGCTGCACAGGAATAGCTTAGCTAGGGATGAGGCAATTTCTGGAGCACAATTCTTCCATACTGTTGCTGGAATGTTTTTGGAGTCCATAGCCTTTGCCATATGCAGTGCCTCCAATTGTTTCTTGTTATCACATGGAGTGAATTGAATTGGCTGAAGACTGATATCTGTAATGGTGAGGACCACTGGAGGAGGCTAAGATGGATCATCCACTTGGCACTTTTGGATGAAGGTTGCTTGAATGCTTCAGCCTTGTCTTTTGCATTGTTGTGCTGGGCTCTTCCATCATTGAGGATGGGGATATTCTGGGCCCTAAAGTTGTAGATTGTGGCTGGAGTAGAATTCTGCTAATGTTGATGGCCCACAGCACCTCTTGGATGCTTAGTCTTGAGTTGCTGGATCTATTCGGAGTTTGGCCCAGTTAGCACGCTGATGGTACAACACAACATGTTGGAGAGTATTCTCAATGTGAAGGCAGGATCTTGTCTCCTCAAGGATGTATGGTGGTCACTCTTACCAATACTGTCATGGACAGATGCATCTGCAGTTGGCACATTGGTGAGAATGAGGTAATATATGTATTTTGCTCCTGTTGGGTCCCTCACAACCAGCTGAAGGCACATTCTAGCAGTTATGTGCTGATTTCCTGGATTAGTGGTCTAACGATAATACTACTAGGCTATTGCCTCTCCATTGTGCCTGTTCATGTATATTTTTTAAATTGATTCACAGCATGCAGGTGCCCCTGGGAAATAGAAGGTTAAGGAGTGATTTGATTGCGGTTTTCTCCAAGGAGCTGTAAAGGCTGAGTCATTAAGTGTATTGAAGGCTGAGACAGATTTTTAATCGGGAAGAGAATCAAGGGAACTGAATGGAATCAAAGTGGAGATGAGGATGATCAGATCAGCCATGATCTCATTGAATGGCAGAGCAGACTCAATGGGCTGAATGGCCTACACGTTATGGTCTTAAGTATGTGGGTTCACAGCAGCTGATGAAACTTAACAACAAAGAACAAAGAAAGTTACAGCACAGGAACAGGCCCTTCGGCCCTCCAAGCCTGCACCGACATGCTGCCCATCACAACTAAAACCCCCAACCCTTCCAGGGAATGTATCCCTCTACTCCCATCCTATTAAATTCACTTAATTTAAAAAGAATTGGAAAGGAAAGCCAGTCTCAGCAAAGATGACCACAAAGTCATCATGGTTTGTCGTAAAAAACAAGCAGGTTCACAGACATCCTTCAGATTAGGAAATCTGCCATTCTGGCTTATATGTGACTCCAAAACCACAGAGTCTTTACTGCCCTTCGAAATGGCCTAACAAGTACTCAGTTCAGGGGGCAAATACGGATGTGCAACAAATGCTGGCCTTGCCAGCGACATCCAACCATTGAATTAATAAAGGAAAAGGTAAAAAAGTGCTATTTGCAAGTCAGTGTTGGGTTTCATTTATTAATGCAGGTTTTGCCAAATGCTGATTGATTTTTTTTACTGGAATTCAGTCCAGATGAGATCAAGATGAAGAAAAGCTTTAGAACATTGAATAGTACGACACAGGAACAGGCCCTTTGGCCCACCAAGTTTGTGCAGGCCATGATGCCATTCTAAATTAATCTCATCTGCCGGCACATGGTCCATATCCCTTTACTCCCTGCCTATTCATGTCTGTTTGGCAACACTTCTCTCTCTGTAGCAATGTTGATACTCTGAACTGCCAAACAACTGTAGCAAAGTGCTTGAAAGTTCACAATTTAGGTGAATTTCACTCATCCTGTCAGGATTATCCAACAAATCAATTGACCACCTGTTGTGGATCCCGGCCGATCCTCACTGGACTGACACCAATGGAATCCAACAAGTTCCTCAGCAATCCACTCTGTCAGCTTACCGTTCCCATAGCCAAGGTGAAAGCTGACTTTAACAGTGAATCTCAGATCCAAAAGTTGAAATCCAAAGGTTGACAAAGGTGGATAAACAATAAAGAACATTCGTACAAATCAGCCACTCTCGCGATGGAAAGTCAAAGTACCTGGGCATTTGTGGTGGCTTTTAGAGATTCAAAAATGAGAGAGTGTCTACCATCAACCAGAGTGCTTTGAAAATGTTCTGAGCTAAATCCTGACCTAAGCACTCTTGGTCGATAAATTAAGAAAGAGGCTGAGTTTCACTTTCAGACAGTTGTCATTCATTGTTATGCCTTCATTGTTTAAAATAGATCTTATATTAAAATAAACTTCTATCTTTTCAGTGAAAACTATTTATTCCGCTGGGCAAGCACTGGCCTACCAAAGGAGATTGAGATGCTGAATAATCTAAAAGTCGTGTTCACAGTAAGTATAGTGTTGATATTTTCCAGCACAGAATAAGGTCTGTTTGACCCAACTATCAATCTTGGTATTTATGCATGAGAGGGTTTTTGCTCCATCCCCTACTATTGTGGGTAGTTCCACCAAGTAATCCTTCCAATCCTTTCTCCCGTCTGTGTTTATCTTGCTTCCTCATAAATGCATCAATGCTGTATTCCTCAAGCACTCCATGTGATAGCAACCTCTATATCCTCCCCATTCTTTTACTGTAGATTTTTGTTTAATTACTTGTCGGATTTACTCGTGACTATGCTAATTTGTGGGTCCTAGTTCTTGACAGGAGGAAACATCTTCTCCACGTCTATCCCATCAAATCACTGGAGAATTTGAATGAGGTCATCTCTCAATCCTTTCCGATGTCTGAGTTTGTTCAGTCTTCCCTGTTGGGTTCTGGTATCATTCTTGTAAATTATTTTGTTTTGTACTTCAGCCCATGTTTCTACATTATTATTCTATAATAGGAAGACTGGCAATGAAATAAATCTCCCTCTGTTCTTCAGGGAACTGCTCCCAGACTCTACTGCTATTATTTTGTAATTGTGAAGGGGCCACCAGTACCAACTAATAGTGAACACGGTGGTCAAAAGAAACAAAATTGGAAAATAGCTGCAGGAGTAGGCCATTCAGCCCTTCGAGCCTGCTCCACCATTCATTTTGATCATTGTTGATCATCCAACTCAGCAGCCTGTTCCTGCTTTTCCCCCTTATCCTTTGATCCCTTTAGCCCCAAGTGCATTATCCAACTCCTTCTTGAAATCGTAGGGCTATATTGTACGTTACCTTGCTAGGTGTGTTTCTGGCATGGTTTCGGGTGGGGGAAAGGAGTAGACGTAAATGATTTTTTGAAATAGTATCTCTACAGTGTGGAAACAGGCCCTTCGGCCCAACAAGTCTACACCAACCCTCAGAGCATCCCACTCAGACCCATCGCCCTATATCCCACCTACTCTACACATCCCAGAACACTACGGGCAATTTAGCATGGTCAAGCCACCTTAGGAGTATGGAAGGAAACTGGAGAATCCGGAGGAGACCCACGCAGACACGGGGAGAGTGTGCAAACTCCACACAGACAGTGGCCCGAGGGTGGAATTGAACCTGGGTCCCTGGCGCTGTGAGCAGTGCTAACCACTGAGCTACCGTGTTGCCCCAAAGATGGTGAATGTATGGCCTTAACTCTTCCATCCACCCCAAGATAACCCCCATAATCTGGAAGGGCTGATCTTTACCCATCCCAAGGTTACCGCCATGATTGGGAGGGGCTGAGTCTTGAGGTTGACAGCTGAGCCTCTATGTTTAGCTCAATAAAGAGCTTCTTAAAGGGCAGAAGCGGGCAGCTTGCTTCTCTTTAAACATTTTTAAAAGGGTGAGAAGGAACAGGGCATGTTATTTACAGGTGATGTCATTCATACATTAGGCCACCTGCGACCACTCCACCCCACCCCCATCCCAGAGATAATATCAACCCCTTCGTCCCTGTCAACCTGCACCTCCTCACCCGCTCCTGACTTAACCCTTCCTGCCCAATACCATTGACTTACCTTGGGCCAGGATCCATAGCTGCCTTCAATGGGAAACAGAAACAGAAATTGCTGAAGAAACTCTGCTGATCCGAAAACATCTGTGGAGCGAGAGAAATGGAGTAAGACTCTTCTTCGGAACAGAACAGGAAGGGTCACTGGACCCGAAACGTTAACTCCGTTTCTGTCTCCGCAGATGCTGCCAGACCTGCCGAGTTTCTCCAGCAATTTCTGGTTTTGTTTCTGATTTCCAGCATTCACAGTTCTTTGTGTTTTTTTTAAATGCCTTTTCTGAGTGCCTGTCTGTCGTTTTGGCACGGCTCACTACCCAGTGCTTGGCACTGCTGGATTTGCTGGCAAAGCAGATTGCCCAGCTGGTCCAGGGCATGGGCTCCCTCTCCAGTGATCATCGTCCTCATTCATGGTGCCCGTAGGGTGTTGTTGCTGTGGGGTGCACTTTACTTTCGTAGATCACGGGGCAGGATGAGGAGTCCACCCCTTTCCCACCCCACCAACCCCACTCTGCACCCTTCCATAACATTTCTCATTCTCTGGCTTTCCAGTGTAGTTCTTCCAGAAAGAGCATCAGTTGTCAAAAGTTGCACAGAGCTGAAGGAGGGTAATGTCATGCTGCAAGGTTACACCAGGTTACAGGTATACAAGATATTGCTGATGCTCTGATGTGGACCAAAACAAATACAACAATGTGTTTGACTCCGAACAGCCTGCTGAAGTGCCAAAGTGTTCAATTTATGGGCAACAAATGCTGGTCTTGCTCCTACATCCCATGAAAGAATAAACAAACGTTGAAAAATCTAACTATCTCAGTCTTGAATAGGTTAAGTAAGGGTTTAATTAAAGGTTGCAGGGAGAAGGCAGGAAAATGGGATTGAGAAACATATCAACCATGATCAAATGGTAGACTTGATGGGCTGAATAACGTAAGTCTACTTTTTGTATCTTATGGCCTAAGGCAGGAGAATGGGGTTGGGAAACTTATCAGCCGTGATCAAATGGCAGAGCAGACCTGATGGGCCGAATTGCCTAATTCTGCTCCTATATGTTAAGGTCTTATGATCTAATGAATAAGCTTTGATACTTAAAAGAATTTGATATTTTAGAGGGGATTGATTAGGGATTGATTTTTAAAATAAAACAGAAGAACTTTAGAAAACATACATCAACACCAAAGCAAATTCTATAGGATTAGAATTAGAACTGTTATTCAATCACTTTCTGATCTTTCTCATTTTAGGATCTAGGAAGCAAAGACTTAACTCGGGAGAGGATTTACTTAGTGTGTCAGATAGTCCGAGTCGGGAGAATGGAGCTGAAGGAAACTAATGCCAAGAAGATGACTCAAGGTTTGAGAAGGCCATTTGGAGTTTCAGGTATGTTAAGGATTGCGAGGTTGCGAGTACACAGAGAACATTCTTGGAATCAAGTATCAACCAACAGCTTGTGGACTCTCAACTGTAAACAGTTTTGAGAATTGGAGGGAAGGAAAAGGAGAGGTCACGGTGACTCCGTCAATTTAGTTATGGAGCTTAGTCCCCAATCACTCCTTCACTCTGGCAGGCCTCTCTATCTCTTCTTTCTCCAGAAACAACTTTAGGAACTAATTCTCGGAATGAGGATCAAGGCTATGATGTTACAGATCTATCTCGACCCATTGTTGGAAAGTGGCAATCTTCCTTTCATTGTTTTGAGATCTAAAGGGATTAAAGGTTATGGGGGGCAAGCAGGGCACTGTGCTCCAGATGCTGGCATGGGACTCAAAACCACAAGCTCCATTCCCTCACAATGAACTGACAACATCGCTTTCCCTGGTAACCATCTTGGTTTGAACATGGCTTATGGCATCAACCTTGTTGACATATTTCACACCTAAATTAATGTCTGGTAACATTTGCCACCACCACTAAGATTGCCTCCATTACATCAAAAGACTAGGTCCAAACCTCAGCTGATCTGCTGCAGAAGCCTTCATAATGACTTCTGCTGCCAAAGCCTTCACGAGGGTGGCATGGTGGCTCAGTGGTTAGCACAGCTGCCTCACAGCGCCAGGGACTTGGGTTCAATTCTACCCTCGGGTAACTGTCTGTGTTGAGTTTGCACGTTCTCCCTGCGTCTGCGTGGGTTTCCTCTGGGTGCTGCAGTTTCCTCCCACAGTCCAAAGATGTGCAGGTTAGGTGGATTGGCCATTGGCAATATAGGGTAGGGGGGTGGGTCTGGGTGGCATGCTCCTCAGAGAATTGGTGTGGACTCAATGGGACAAATGGCCTGTTTCCATATTGTAGGGATTCTATGACTTCTGTGCCTCTGGACTTGGCTGTTCCAACTCACTCCTGGCAGAGCACCTACATTACAGAAGTAATCTACAACTTTGCCATGACAATTTCTAAACTCACACCAGGCGTCTTTCAATTATTGTTCTCTGATTTCACAAACCTAATTAGACACTGGCTAAGCAACGCTGTGATTTTAAAATTCTCAGCTTGGCTTTCAAATCCTCTCAAGGCCTTGCCCTCCATGCAGATGTAATCCCATCCAGCCCCACCACTGTTTCCTCACCTCTTTATAATCAAATCCTCCATTGCCAGTTGTGGCTTCAGCTGTCTGGTCTCCAAGCTTTGGAATTCCCTCCCTAACCTCTCCATTTCTCTCCCTTTCTTCCCCTAAGATGTTCCTGAAAGCCACACTCTCCATACTTAAATTTGCTCATCTGCTCTGAAGTGGCTCTGGCCGAAAAATCTCTCCACAGCACTCGTGTGTAGGGCCGTGGGATGGTTAATGATACAGATGGAAATTATTAAGCTGGAGAGGGTTCAGAAGAGATTTTACCAGGATATTGCCAGGTATGGAAGGTTTGAGTTATAAAGAAAGGCTGGATAGGCTGGGACTTCTTTCACTGTAGCATAGGAGAGATAGTAGTTAATAAAATAATGAGAGATATAGATAGAATTAATGGTAGTTGTCTTTTCCCTAGGATGGGAGATTTCAAGACGAGGGGGCACATTTTTAAGGTGAGAGGAGAGACTTTTGAAAAAAGACATTTTGGGCAAATTGTTAACACAGAGGGTGGTTCGCGTGTGGAATGAACTTCCTGAGAAGTGGTGGATGCGGGTACAATTACAATGCTTAAAAGCCATTTGGGTAAGTACACGAATAGGAAAGGTTTGGAGGGATATGGGCCACGAGCAGGCAGGTGGGTCTAGTTTAGTTTGGGATTATGGTTGGCATGGACTGGTTAGACCGAAGGGTCTGTTTCTTTGCTGTATGACTCCATGACATTACAGGCACTACATAAGTTCAGTTTGTTGCTTGTCTGAATCATAAGAGAAACCGTTCTACACAGATTTAACGCACATCTTGTCATGAAAATATCAATTTTTGGTGCAGACTTGGAGGGCTGAAGGGCCTGTTCCTGTGTTGTATTGTTCTTTGTTCTTTGATTAACCAATTGCTTAAGGGACTAATTCAATTCCTGTGAGACTGGAAACACAGCTGTGTAATATGAGAACAACTAGAGTTTAATAATGATGGTACGGGCTGGGTAGACATTTTCAAGATTTTATTAATTACCTGAAAGGTCAGGAGGAGATAAGTGGGGCAGAATAGTGTGTTAGATAAATTACACTGTGCCTGTTTTGTGGATGGAGCTAATGATGATAGCTTGTGATTATGTAAGGGATGTGTTTATAAACCAGAAGAAAATGCTGGGACATGATGGAATAAACCTCTTCAAAGCAAATGAAAACTAATCGAGAAAACCCAGCAGGGGGAGCCCAGGTCACATGTGTTTGTATTTGTTATGTAGATGATAAGTAAAGGACGTGCATAAAAACAGAAACTGAATTCTTGAGAAAAGAAACCGCAAACATTGTTTTTCAAGGGAATGCGTGTGTGCAGCAGTGTTTCCCGAATGGATTCAAATAGGATCAATTTTTAAAAGATCTGCTTGTTCAGGAGAAGACAACAGAAGGAAAACCTTTGTTTCAGAGATAGTAGGAACTGCCGATGCTGGAGAATCTGAGATAACAAGGTGTAGAGCTGGATGAACACAACA